TGCTGACACACACTTACTGATCTGTTCTCAGCGGAGAAGGGTCCCAGGGCCAGGCTCCACTTCATCGCTTTGGAAGCTGGGACTCCCACCGTCTATTTCCCTCCCTGTCATCACTTTGCCGCCGCCGCTGCTGTGACCTGTCACTATGCATTTACTGCAAGCAACTTGGAGATGGCTTCTAGACATAACCAGGGGAAGCCTTCCTGACCCATCTGGTCAAACCACTGGCTCACCAACTGCGTGGGGCATTGCTTATATACACACGGAAGTGCTCTTAAAAGAGCGCTTCTTCTCTGCTCCAAAGGACTGAGCTACGGGCGCAATAGTTCTCTTTCTAGGGCGCCTGGGTGGCTCAGTTGGTTAAGCGACTGCCTTCGGCTCAGGTCATGATCCTGGAGTCCCGGGATCGAGTCCCGCATCGGGCTCCCTGCTCGGCAGGGAGTCTGCTTCTCTCTCTGACCCTCCTCCCTCTCATGCTCTCTGTCTCTCATTCTCTCTGTCTCAAATAAATAAATAAAATCTTAAAAAAAAAAAAATAGTTCTCTTTCTAGAAAACAGAGCTCATAGTCTTTTGTTGAGACAGATCAGAATGAACTAACACGTACTTTGCAGGCTCTTCTATGATGAGGAGGTCAAAGCCAACCAAAGGAGGCTGCCGAGTGCCAGAAAAAATGTTTCATAATCCCAAACTTCCTGTTGCACCCAATTAGGCTACTGTCAGCTTACTCTAAATATTATCAACCTCTACCGACCATTTAACCTATTACAGGAAATTCAACAGAGTCCAGTCTGCATTGCATTACCGTTACTGGATTCATGTAGTCCTAAGCAAGCTTTATGTAAAGCCCAGTGACTCACCATCCCCACAGATGGTATGGCTGATTCGGTTTATACGTTGTGATGCTATGGGTGGAAGGGAAAGTTGCAGAGAGTTGATTTGTGCTTGAATTTTTCGCAGAAAACTTGATTATGAAAATCACTAATTTCTAAGTTGAGGATCAGGACAAAAGAGAACTACGATGCAATGTCTGGATGTGTTTAGGGGTTATAGTCCTGACGTTTATCCCATGTCACAAACACAGGCTAGAACCTTCCATTTTTTTCCACTGAGCATATCCCTTAAGGACTTGTTACTGCGCAAAACTAAGCTACACATATTATCCCAAGCTCTTAGGAAGACATCCATAATTATGATTTGTTTCTACAACAAACAAAAGAATCTAGCCGTACTGACATGCTACAAGAAAAAATGGAATATAACATCATGAAATGGAATGAGCAGCCCGTCTTCTAAATCTGCTTGTGATTTTAACGTGTTCTTTCCTGCTGCCTTATAAACTATATTAGGAACCCCCGGAGACAGGGCAAGACACTGTAGGAATATGTTTGATATATAGTTGGATTAAATAACAACCTAATATATCAAACATATCACACAGAGGCCTGCAGCAAAGGCATCCAGGTTTGGCTGGGCTCGAGAATAGGCACCGTACGTACTGCAGGAAGTCCATTACCCGTCTGGGGAGCGCACAGGCTGGTGATACGTGTGGAAACGGCGCCACGAGCAACCTCGTAGGCACATGCACCAGGGCACACCGACCTTCCCCTTTTGCCTTCCTGCCATCTTCCCAAGCAAACAGTGGATCCAACAGTGCGAATTTGTTATTCCCATCGGGGAGATTGCAGGCAAAAAGAGGTGCTTATATTTTAAGGGCCTGAGCTGGGAATATACCAGAATCATCTTCATAAACCAGGGAGCGTTCTACTTTTAAAACAGGTGACCTGAGACTGTGGCGAGCAGAGTAATTTAAACAAAAAACCAAAAACCCATAGCCTTTCCCCGGTACTATTCTTCAACGCAGCGTAAATGCTCCATGGTTACAAAGGAAAGCATTACCCACGCTATGCTGAGGGCTTGTGTGGTCGTGTGTAGTTACAGGGATAGGAAGGTGATAGCAAATGTTATTTGTAGTATCCTGAGGATAAGTTCTTTATTTCAGTTATGGAAGGGCATGGAGAGAACCAGTTCACCACAAAAGACTGGTTGGTTGTGGGGTCAGATTGGACATTTTTTTTAACTGGGGAAATAAATTCCTTTATAAAGGTTAGGAAGGTATTTTATTTCATGCAGTTATTACCACAAAGCAGAGGGTACCCTGAGACAGGCACAAAAACCATCGTTTGGGTTGATGGTTTCTTTAGAACGATTTTAGAGATAATATAATCCACGTGGCAGAGCCTTTGGCCATTGGGTGGAGTAATACTTCAGATCATCTTCAGGCACTCAAGAAATACCAAGTGCCCTTCCTCACATGAAGAGGGGAGTGCCCTAAAGTGGGCATCCCCAAGGAAGGGGCTCAAATCAACAGTTACGTCCACTTCGACTTTCACTTCGACCTCGGCTTTGTGTACAGATCCACACTGTCAATACAAAGGCTGGACGATCCTAGGGCAGGGCAGGGAGTGCCCACTGGCTCACCTCAGCAGCCACCGCTCATTTTTTAAGTGCTCTTATTTTTAAAACACTGTTTTATAAAATATTAAAACACAGGCCCTCCCCTAATTTCACGGTCACCCTTGTACATCCCCTACCTGTCTCCTTCATATTCAAGTGTTGTTTACAGAGTTGTAATCATAACGAGCACATAATTCTGCATCCTGTGTGTTTTTCTTTTTTTACTTTACATTTATGCCATGAGCATCTTCTTCATACTACACAGTCCTATCAACCATTCTTTTCAATAGCTGCATACTTTTCTTCAAGGAGACACTCAGGTCATATCTAACTTCTTCCTACAAGTAAGGCTACTAGGAATAGCCTTCCCTGACACACAGAGCTTTCTTTCTCTCTGGATTTCCTCCTCAGCACAGATTCCCAGAAGAGGCATTAATAGCTCAAACGGTATAGGCAAACCCAAAACCCCTTCTGGGGGGCTGCACCAGCCTCTGACACTGGCTAGACCCAAAGGACTGGGATGAACGGACCCTGCCACCCAGAGCCCACATACGCTGCTTCCAGCTCCATCAAGCCGGCTGACTCTGGCAAGGTATTGTGCCCTTGATTTTGCATGGATGGAGCAGGGATGGGAATACAGGTTGCTCTGTGGACCTGCTGTAAGGGCCAGATGAGTTCATCCATGCCAAGCCCCTAGAAGGCTGCCTGCCCCCTGCTTGGTACTCAATCAACGTGAGCCTTTTGTTTTCTTTTTGCTATGGCCATCAGCTCATGGATCTATGGAATAATTTTTATTGCAGGCATTCTCCGAGGAGGTAGTAGATAAAAGTCCCTGAAGCATAGTTTCAGTGACGGTGATACAGTTACTGCCTATTAAGTTAGGCACTGTGTTCTTAAATTATCTCATTTAATTGCTGTAACAACAATCCTCTGGGGCAGGGCCTCTAATGACTTGTGTTTTCAGCTTAAGAATTCTAGGGTGAATAAGTGGCTAGACAGAGGGCAACTAGGATTCAGAGACAGAACTCTGAGGGATCCTGCAAAAGGACAAAGAGAGAGGGATTGAAACAGGAGCTCTTAGGACCTGGTGAAGTGCTAATGTTACAGGAGCACCAGGCTAATTCTCCAGAAGTGCCAACTGACATGACTTCAGCATTAGCAGACGAAAGCTTTCCAGGAGAGGTTGGTTGTGTGAAATCATATGAGGAAGAGGAAAAACCAACTATGCAAAAAGCCTCTAAATCTTAGTCAATGGTTGTTTGCTTCTTAGCTCAACGTAATCTTCCATTTGCAATTAACTTGATTTATAAAGCAGAAATAAAGACATACAGAAAATGGGAGTCGCCCCTACACACACACTCCGTTCTTAAGCTTGTTGAGAACAACTTGGACAATCTCAGACCACTTAAGACCCTCAGCTTAGAGGCTAGTGGAGAGAACCCCGGTAAACCCCCAAATCAGAAGCCATAACTCTTAAATTACATCTTGATGAGAAATTTAAAGACTGCCTTCACCGAGTCTAGAGCGACTATTAGGAGACTGGCTCGAAGAATTTCATGGTTTTAAGCAGGCTCCCAAGCTTCATCCATTTACTACCTGCTCATGTCTAGTTTCCATACAACATGATCCCAGGCTCTGCTTTTGAGAGGTGTGGTGTATTCTAGTGCTCAGACTCCATCCTTTGGTCTTATAAAAAAGGTTGAATTTTAGGCATATCTAATCTGAGGGATCCAACTTTTTTGAGGGCAAAAACCAGATTTTACTTCCTAATGTATTTGGGTTCTTGGAAGGGAAGTGAGGCCATAGGTACCTGCAGTGACCTCCTCTAGTTTGGCCATCTTTGGACTGAAGATAGCCATGGGGCTGGAGGAGGGACAGGTAAGAGCTTAACAGGGTTGGGCTTTGCACCTGGACAGCACTAGCTCCCTGTCCTTTTATGTAATAATTGTCCTCTCTACTGCCCAATCTTAAAATATTTCTTTAAATGGCTGTTTCTAATATCTACTCATGATCTTAGGTTTTAAACATTTATCTAGATGACAAACACAGATGGAGGAAACATACCAGCCCACCACAGCCTCCAGCATATATTGAGAAAGTCTGTCACTGGATCCATTTTTGAGGTCCACACTGTCCTCTTTATTGATTTTAAGAAAAGGAGAGACCCAGCATTGCTATTTGCATTACATTATGGAAACCAGATAATTGGAGGGTGATGATATCACATTCAGGGACAGGGATTTTCCATAATAAGTATCCAACACCTGCTTTATAGAGAACAGAACTAAACTCAGATTGTAAATGCCCGGGTTCTTCCTCTGGATACCCAAAGGTATTTTTCTGGGTGGTTAACCTGAAGGATCCACCCGTGGGTTTTTTTCCATACCCTGTGAAAAGGGGCCGGGCTGGGAGAACAAGTTTGCCGCTTTTGAGTCTAACCACAGGGAAGGAGATAAAGCTTCCTGTGGCACACCGAGCTCCATTTCACAGCCATCCACAGGAAGACCCAGTGACATGAGACAAGCAGCCACACACGGACACTCACTTTTGGTTTTGCTCTTGGCTTCAGTTGCTCTAACTTCTTGGCGGCAGCCTCAATGGACGCTGCGGCCCCCAGTAATTCTGTTTCTGCAATGACGGTTGGGTCTTCTGGATCCACCCACTCTGTTCCTAAAATCAGTCCAAAGAGGGTCATTCTTGGTAGCTGTGACTGCAGGGCACTGGCTTTGTTACGAACAGTATCTGGAGTGACATGCAGGGAAGCTCCAGAAGCCTACTAGCTGCATGGTGCCAAGGGATCTTCTCTCTAGCTCTCACAGAGATCAGCTGGGTGCAGGGGAGCTCCTGTCTGCTCCTGTTTTTCTAAGTCAGTTATGTACACAGCCCTAGCACAGGAGTGGTCATCAATGATAGCTTCAAAAATCAGGATCTCATGGTCCAAGGCCAGCTCGAGCCTTACTCTAACTTCTCACTTAAACCTCATGAACGCAAGTAACTATTTTCAAGAGACTCGAGACTCTGCTGACCACACAGATTTGCCATTCTCTTCTCTTGGGACTCCTGGAGAACAGCCATTCACCTCAACTCAAACAAAGGGAAACTGAATTTCTCTGGTGAGGTGACTGCTTCTAATGTTACCGTGAAGGGGTGTGCAAACAATGTACCCAGAGGGCATCATTTCCTAAACATGAAGTGTGTTATCTGAATGAGGATAAATATTCTGATGAAGGAAACTGCAGATAAAAATAAATGGCGACACCCTTCAGAGAAGTGAGCAGTTCCAGATGGACTATACCATTTAAGAAGAAGTACTTAATGCAAAGATTGGAAAAAAGCCTTGCTTTGGGAGGATATTACTTTGAAAATCTAACTCTATTCCCATTTGCTTAAAAAAAAAAAAAGTACCTCACTGTATTCCTTCGGACTGCATTTGCCAAGAAAGGGCCTGGGTTGGCTGTGCAGTATGAGTACAGTTCGCTGTACTGAGACTGTACTCAGTTCGCTGTACTTGCTCCACATGAGAGAATGCAGCCTACCTTTCATGGCTTCTGCGGCCTGGATGAGCTCAGTCACGGCGCCGGCGACACGCTTGGAGAAAGCAGCCAGCTGGTGCTTGAGTTCCGGGCTTGGTTTCTGAAGAATCTACGGATGAAGACAAACGCATTTGAAAGATGGTAGCCATTGTGACAGAAAGCACACTCTTACTGGTGGACACAGAGTCGGACATCCTGGTTTTAAGGTGCAACTCTGTCGCCAAGTGACTTCGGAACTTGGGGGAAAACACGTAAGGCTCACTGGCCTTCGGTTTCCTCACGTGAGAAATGAAAAGTTGGGAACCAGGAGTTTCTTTAAGGTCCCTTCTGACACATTTCCCTAAGATCATAAGTGAGATGAGGTCCTTACTCGTCCTTTATTTGCACTTTCATTTGTACACAAAACATATGTACACAAAAATTACCCACAGTGTAAGAACAATCTGAGGGAACATGAAAGCCTGAGGTTACAAGTAGCTGGTACTTGTGACAAAACAAATGTGGGACCAGAAAAAATAGGTGACTCCAGTTGGGCCTTAGAGACAAAGTCCCCAAGAGAGCAACTGCCAACTGATCAGAGGGCTGTTCCTGAAGGAACAATCCATCTCCAGGGTTTTGACTGCAAGCTCTCCTGGGAGAGGTCCTGAGGATTTTCCTTCTTTCAAACTAGTTCAAAGGTTTTTTTAAACTTCTTCTTTGCTTTTTGTTTTCTTATGGTATTAAAAAAAGATACTGGATATCCAATGCCCACTCCAATTTATAGGATATCCTGTGAGGATTTCTTCTCGAATCACTCAAGAATGGAACTAAGAAATGGGATGAGACCTTCACCACAAATTTATATTCTGACTGAAACCATCTTGCTCCTTCCTAATTTTGAAAGTCTTCTTCCAACATTCTTTTTCTTGTATCTCTTTGCCATGTTTCACAGTGGTAACCTTCAGATTTAGAAATGCTAAAACATTCAGGAGGAAAGTGCAATTGTTGTCTCTCTATGGACAATTTTGAAGCCTCTGAGCTTCAAGCCCCAGAGCCTGGGCCTTGAAACTGGACAAACCTGTGATCACACCTGGCTTCACTTGCTCCTGGTTTATGACATCAGGCAGATTACTGAACCCCTCAGAACCTGTTTTCTCATCTGTAAAACTGGGGTAATGCCTATCCCTCAGGACCGGCATAAAGATAAAATGGAATAACACAGGAGAAGCATCCTGCACGATGCCTGGAATACAACAGGCATTCACTAAATGTTATTCCCTTCTTGGTTTTCAGGTAGCATACTGGAGTATGGAAAAAGGAGTCTGGAAAAGATGTCTTTTGGACCCCAGAGCTAAAAGAGAACTCTAAGAAAGGGTTGGTAAAAAAACATCTGGGGTTGGGGTAGTTAATGGGATTATATTTGTGCCAGCCCCAGGCACACCAGTGCATAGAAGACATTATATTAAATGCTTGAACTGATTAGTCAAAGATTTTTGAGCATCGCTTTACATGCATCTATCCCCATTCTCCTTCCTCTTGGAATCTTTTACATTTATATTTGCTACTGCTCTATGGATTCAGCTGCTCTACTCTTATTTTCTCACCCTTGAACTTACACATATCACTATGCAGATATTAAGAACTCAATATAAAGGTGCCTGGCTGTCTCGGTTGGTGGAGCATGCAACTCTTGATTTCAGGGTTGTGGGTTCAAGCCCCACGTTGGGTGTAGAGATTACTTAAAGGTAAAATCTTTAGGGAAAAAAAAGCACTCAGTACAAACCTAAGAATGAGTGAACAAATGAATGGATGAGTAAAAACAGAACAACATACTATTGGGATAAGTCCTAATATGAAGGTTTCATGGATCAATTCCAAAACAACAATAGAACCATGGAGAGGTGCAGGGAAGAGGTTAGGTGTCTTTTATTTTCTAATACAGCCAGAGGGGGTTTAGTTAAGTGTAGGTTCTAGAGTCAAACTATGTTTGAAACCCTGGTCTAGTTACTTACCTTCTTTCTAAGCCTCAGTTTAAGTAAATTGCCTATTAAATAGGCATAGTAACAGTCCTTTTGTTAGAGAGTGGTGGTAAGATTGTATAAATTCATATGTAATTTAATATATAACTCATCAGGGCTATACTGATAGAATTGGACTGATGTAGAGCCTGGGCATCAGGATTTTTAAAAGTCCCCCAGGTGATTCTCATATACAGTTGTGAACCTATATATGAGTTGTGAACCACTGCTCTAGACTCAAATGGTGGCATTTGGCACCACTTAATTGTAAAAGGCTTGTACTATTTTTTTTTTTTTCTGAAACAATGCATGCTCTAAGGCCACCAAGTGAATAATGGTTATGGCTCATGGTTTGAAAAGCTAAGTGGTCCATAAGCCTTGTTCTTTGGTTAGTTGGTTTATCCACAGTGGTCAAGACAACAAGAATAAGCTGCGTATTAAAGGTATGATGGGGAGACTCATAGTAAATGATGCACTGAATGTTTTCCCCTTAAGATCAAGAATATGGTAAGGATGTTTGGTCTCACATCCCTATCAGTATTGTACTAAAATTCCTGGACAGTGCAATAGGGCAAGAAAAAAATAAATAGCAAACAGACCGAAAAGAAGAAGTAAAAAAATCTTTGTTCGTAAGTAAAATGAATGTCCATGTAGAAAATCTTGATGCATCTGTAAAAAAAAAAAAAGTTTCTAGAACTAATAAGTGAGTATAGCAAGGTTACAGGCTATAAGGTCAATATACAAACATCAACTATATTTTTATATATAACAATAAAAATTGGGAATTTTAAAAAAGAAGTGTCATTTATAACAGCATAAAAATTATGAAATACCTAGTGTTAAGTGTGACAACAGATTTGAATGCTAAAAACTATAAACACTGTTGAAATTATTAAAGAAGACCTAAATAAATGGAGAGATATACCATGTTCATGGATTAGAAGACTCTTCAGATGTCAATTATCCTAAATCTCCCCTACACTACCAGTGAAAATTCCAATAAACTTTTTTTAAGAGATTGAAAAGATGATACTAAAATATATATGAAATGCAAAGCACATAGAATACCTAAGACTATTTTGAAAAAGAACAAAGTTAAAAGTCTTAAACTAATTGATTTTAAGACTCTATATGAGTTGTAGTGGTAATCAAAATATGATATTGGTACACAGACGTATAGATCAATGGAGCAGAAAAGAGTCCAGAACTAGATTCACACATATGGTCAACTGATTTTCATTAAAGGTGCTAAGATGTCTTTAATTCAATGGGGACAGAATAATTTTTTTTCAACAAATGGTGATGGAACGATTGGATAGCCATATGTAAGAATATGAACCTTGACCCTTTCCTCACACCATATGCATAAATTAACTAGAAGTGGAGTATAAACCCAAATATAAGAATTAAAACTGTACAGAAGAAAACACAGGAAAATCTTAATGATCTTGGATTTTGTAAGGATTCTCAGAGGACAAAAATATAAATTATGCTTAAAAACTTCAAAAACCATGAACTTGGAAGTTTATGCTTTAGAACTTTAAAAACATTATGCTAAGTTAAAGAACCAGTCACAAAAGACCACATACTATGTGATTCGATTTATATGAAAAGTCCAGAATAGGCAAATCTACAGAGGCAGAAAAGAGATTAGTGTTTGTGTAAGGCTTGGAGTGGGGGTAAGGTCAATGAATGACCACTTAAGGGTATGAGATTTTTGGGGTGATGAAATGTTCTAATATATTGTGATAGGTGCATAACTCTGTAAATACAGAAAAAAACAATTAATTTAATGCCTTAAGTGGGCATATTCTGTCATATGCCAATTACAGCTCAATAAAGCTGTTATAAAGATAATCAATCTGGCATGCAAATGAAAGAAAACAGGAAGCTGGTGAAGGGTAGCAGAGTGTGCCACCCCAAAATATACCTCTTTGGTATAAGGATTATTTTGAACTAATTCTTTGAGAAAGAGCAGATACAGGAGAAACTCTGAAAACAGAGTATAAATTACTCTTTTGAAAGGGAAATTTACATTTATAAAGCAAATCTTCATTTGTTAAGGGTGTCTCCCTCTCCCTGCTTGAAGAGAAGGTTGATTCTCTATCACAAGAGAATTTATCAGTAGAGAAGGCACAGACTTAAAACTGCATAACCACCTTACCCTACTTTATTGAGCTTTTCTTGGTAACCAACCTCCCATCACTAGTCCCCCCAGCCAATTACACACTTTTTTTTTTTTTCTTGAGCTAAAGATGGTATTTAAGCTTGTGGCTCAGGCCACCTATACAGTTACTCATTTTTCCCCCCGGATATCTGCCATGTATCCATGAGGTACACAAGTTAATAAATTCGTTTTTCTCTTGTTAATCTGCTTTACTGCATAGGCAAGAACTCAGAAGGGTTGGGAGAAAATTATTTTTCCTCCCCTTATACTGGGATATAACCCTACAAATAATGTGATAACCTGTGCAAACAGAAACATTCAATTCATGTTATATGTTTATTTGAGATATAAGATATATTTTGGTTTTCCTTTTCTGTTTTTTCAAGTCCTATCTGTTCTTTTTGTTTCAACTCTCTGCAGCACTGTTTTCTAAGAACACACATTTGCCTCCCTCTCCAGACATTGTCATGAAAATGACATGGCAAACCACACCCTAAGAGAAACTATTTAAAACAACAACAACAACAACAACAAACCAAAAACCTAGGGGCACCTGGGTGGCTCAGTCAGTTAAGTGTCTGACTCTTGATTTTGGCTCAGGTCATGATGTCAGGGTCATGGGATCAAGTCCCATATCAGATGGCTCCATGCTGAGCGTGAAGCCTGCTTGAGATTCTCTCTCTCCTCTCCCCTACCCTGCTTGCACGTGCATGCTTTCTCTCAAAAAAACAAAAAACAAAAAAACACTAACAACTTGTATCTAGAAAATAAAAAGTTCTACAAGTTCCATAATTGGACAAATAAAAAATAGGCAAAAGATCTGAACAGGCACTTCATAAAAAAAAGACAGAGAAGGTAAACAGGTGCATAAAAAAGATACTCAACATTGTAAATTAAAACTACAGTGAGATACCACAACACACCCACTGGGATGGCTAAAGTTAA